TTTGTTTTATATAGAAAGAAGAGGCGCATGTCCTTTTTAAAAAATAAAAGTGCAAGAACAGAAAAATGGGAAATGTGAATAGCCACATGCCTCCTATTTCAGCTCTCAACTCCCACCTTTCAATGGAAATCTGAGAGTATTGCATGTAGATAATTTTTTCCTCACTGAGGTGAGAAAAGGTGATCACCATTTTCTGGAAAATAATAGCAATTTTTTAAAATCCCACGTAGTTAACAGTTCTCTCAAACGGCTTTACTTCACCCTGCTAGTTATCATTTTTTACCTGTATGACTCGAAGCAATTGATAGCAAATGTGTTATGCTATTACCTGGACTGCATACTTCCGGCTGAATTTTTTCAAATGATATTCAACAATGCATTTGGTGTGTGTTCATGTTTCATATAAAAATCTCTCTCTAGTAATCTCACATACGTCCTTCAGTCCTTCATTTTGTGTAATATTATCCTTCTCTTGTCTGCTATCAGAGATACTCAGATAAACTGCTCTTACATATTTCTAGAAGTAAATGTTATTATTATTGTTATAGTTGTGAAGTTGTTTTTGTTTTTTTGTTTTTTTTTTGCTATTATTTGTTTGTGATACTAAGGATTTAACCCAGGGGTACTCTCAGAATCTTTTTTTTTTTTTCAGTTTTTGAGACAGTGTCTCACTAAGTTACTAAGACTGGCCTTGAACTTGCAATCCTCCTGCCTCAGCCTCCCCAGTCACTGGGATTATAGTTGTGTGCCACCTCACCTAGCTATTATTGGTATTTTTTAAAGATCTAATTTAAGCACATCTACCACAGGCCCAACCTATGGGACTATAACCTTTTATCTTCCTGATTGCCTATAAAAATAACTAGAGTCACCATTTGAGTATCTTCAATAGCAGACATATGATCACATTATATATGTCTTAGAACAAAACTTCTGTAAGGAAGTTATTATTTCAATTTGCCACAAGAACCAACCGAAACTTCCATTTCCAGCACACCGTTGCTCAGTCTTAAAAACAACGCCATCTGGTGCAGAGACTGAAATGGTCGTCTTCCATGTTGGATGGGCACACGTTACTTGGAGACCTGTCAAAAGGCGCCAGTTTTTGAAATGTGGAGTTGCAATGCAGGAGAGTATTTTAAGCCGTGCTCTGGGCAACAACCCACAGGAGGTGGGAAAGTCCTGCTTAAAGTCCTGAGGGGTTCTCTGTGATATACATATTAAACATGGTGTGAGCAGGTCCTGGGGTCTCAGTCCTCTGGACTGAGAGAGAGTGTGAACTGTGAGGCTTTTGCAAAAAGGCCTCCCCTATTCCAGAGGAAAGTGGGATCTTTCAAGATGCCTCCTGCAGCCTGAGTGCGGGAAAGCAGCTGGACCTCTGTACCTCAACATGGGCGCGTCTTTGGAAGCAGGCCGCTACAGGGAAGGCAGTTTCCTTCTGATGGGAAGAGACTCAGGGGCCAGCTGCCAGCAGCCAGGGGCATGACTGCCGGGGTCCTTCAGGTTTGATCTGGATGACATTCCCAGCAGAGGTCGTCAAGTCCTTGGAAGATTGAAACGTTGCTGACTACTTGGCACGGCCATCCACCAGGGACCCTGAGGACCAGGCGTACCCTTTAAGAAAACTGAAGTGAACCACTGAGCACAGAGCAGAATGACCCTGCCTTTCCACCTACTGTGTCACAGTTTACAAAAAGACTTTCTGTTCATTATTTTATTTGAGACTTAAAATGCCCCTCGGAGGTGCTCCAATTAAAGGTCGGGAGATTGAGGCTTAGAGACTGAAGGGCTCAAATCACACACACACACACACACACACACACACACACACACACACAGAAAGTTCTTACATCAATTGCAGCCAATTTTTGGTCCATTTGGATCATGAGGCTTTTGTGTTTTATCTCAGGTCCAAAATGCCAGTGTGGTAAGAACACCTCAACGTCCCTTCATCTCTAATATCTGACAACCTTTGAAACTTCCCAACAAAGTAAACGCCTGACACATCCAATGATTTTAAATGTTGAAAAAACAGAAATCATGCATCACTGCAGAAATGTCTACTTTATAAGTCACCCTTAATAAGGGAGGCCATTAAATTATGCCTTTTAGCATAAAAATAAACCTATTAGTCCTGACAACCACTGCATCTTGGAAGATCTCACCCACATGTTGCATTGGAAGCAGATGGAATGTCATATGAACACGTCTGAGGAAAAAATTTATGCTCAGCATCTCAAGATAAAGTGTCACAGGCCACTTTAAAACAGTACTCAAAGCCAGGGGCAAAGAATATGGGAGGAAAAGAAACCTAAAATAATCTGGGCCACTTTAATTTTCCTTTGCATGTCCACATTTTCCCTAAAATCTGAAGATTCTGCATTCAGTTAACACTGGGAACATTCAGGAAATGTGGTTGTTAGGAAAAACCCCAAACAACAGGATGTTTAAGAGATTTCGTAGATAGATTTGATACATATTGGGACTTCGTTCCATCAAGACAGAAAATATGTATGGCTAAATTCTTTTCAACTGTGGTTATTATTTTTCTTTAATAGCAAGAATATTAGTGCAATAATAATTTTATAGGGGGAAATGCTGTAACGCAGCTCTGCTTTCTGAGTTTGGTCACAGGGTGTGGTTAATATTTGCAAAGATCATGCTGCCTTTAATTCTTGTAGTTCTGTGTTCTAGAATGAAAAGTTCTCAATTTGGAGATTTGGGGGGCTTGAACAATAAAATCTCTATTATCAGTTCATTTGATTCTTGAGGAAACAGCATGATAGAGGGACTGATCTTTGAGAAGGAGACAGGGAAGAACATTCTGGAACAGGAGCAGAAACCCTTTCACAAAGAATGAAGTCTAGAGGGATTTCCATTGCAAACATCTCCAGCTCTGATTGCACCTAGAAGCTAAGAAGGAGGTTTGCAGCCTTTAATAAGAATGGAAAGAAGAAGATATTGTGAACCTAAGTTCAGGGGAATAAAGGGGAGGGTTGAAGGCTCTTAGAAGCTTCTCACTTACCTTTTCAGATAACTGTAGACCAGGAATCCCCTCTGAAAGAGTTAGAAAACTTTAAGCCTCTGTTGACTGTGTCTGCTTCCCTATAAAAATTATTAAAGAAAACCTTAAAACAGAGAGAAGAGGAAGGAAGTAGTTATGCTTAGGGACCAGATTCTACTCCTCAATAGGTTATGGAGTGGAGAAAGACAATCAGTGTGTATGAAGGCAAGTGCACCTCTCTGCACAAGGAGACTACTCACAGAAGGGGAAACTGACTATCCATTTGGGGCTGCAGCCGGGCGCCGTGGCCCATAACTGTAATCTCAGCAGCGCAGGAGGTTGAGGCAGGTGGATCATGAGTTCAAAGCCAGCCTCAGCAATTTATCCAGGCCCTAAGCAACTCAGTGAGACCCTGTCTCTAAATAAAATACAAAAAAATGGCTGGGGATGTGGCTCAATTGTTAAGCACCGCTGGGCACAATCCCAGGTACCAAAAAAATTGGGGGCTGCAAAGACTTACTGGTACTGAGCAGTGGAAATCCCACATGTTGATCAATAACTCCCAAATAGATGTCTCTAGTCTTGGCGGCCTCCTTCCTTCTCTCTTTCAGGTTTGTGACCTGCTTGTCTACTAGGCCTGTTCCTTTTTGTTTTTGGTACCCGGGATTGAACTCAGGGGCACTCTACCACTGAGTCACATCTCCAGCCCTATTTTGTATTTTATTTAGAGACAGAGTCTGACTGAGTTGCTTAGTGCCTCACTTTTGCTGAGGCTACCTTTGAACTCACAATCCTGAATCAGCCAATGGGATTATGGGTGTGCCCACCACACTCAGCACCTGTTCCCATTTATGACTCACCAGGATCTCCAACTCAGTGACCCTAAGACACTGTATGTCTTCCTCATATAAACAGCCTAGTGATAGTACCGATGCCTTGGGGAGATACTGTATTGAGACGGAGGAGAAGGAACTTCCAGGGAAGGTATAAAAACTTATCAGGACACAGTACAAAAAAGGAACTGAGCAAGATGAGATGGGTTGTTACGGCATTGCCAATTGCATTTTTCTTTCCACAGTCACCACACTTATCAGTGCCTCTTCATTTCTTTTTACTTGGAGGATTGAAATAGCCTGTACCAATACTTCCTCACTGCTCTCTTGAATGTAATTTTCCTGCTTATAAAATTCTGAGTGTCTTTCCATGGCCAACTTAACAATTTGTGCCTGCTTGAATGGTAACAGCAGATTCTTACCAGCTGAATCTTTATCTTCACTTACTACCTCAGCCAAGCTGGACTATATCCCTTCCATAGAGAACAACCCATCTCATCTTGCTCAGTTCTTTATTTTGTACTGACTCCTGATATGTTTTTATACCTTCTCCTGGAGAGTTCCACCCTCCCCCTGTCTAAATACAGTATCTCCCTAAGGCATTGCATACTGTGTCCTCTGGGATATTTCTTCTGAATCTCCTCCTTTTAACTGGAATTTTTTCTAAAAAAAATCAGACTGATGGTTTGTTTACAGTCAAAAGACAGCAGCTCTTTATACTTACAATTACGTGCAGATCCATTAGTGAAAGCAATTACTTTCCCAAGACGTACTGAGGACACTGAACTAGAAATCATATTGCTGTTGGTTCAGTGTAAGACACTGATGGTGAAGCCTCATTAAATAATCTCTCTCACAACAGAGGAATTCTCTTAGGACCAAATGTGTTTCTCTCCATGTCAGTGTCTCATGGCTCTCAACAGAACAAACTAATCCAAGGTAAGAGAAGGGACAAAAAATACAACAGTTATGACTGTTGTTTCATGGGTCTCCACCTGCTACAGACTTTTTCTTTGTTTTTGATTTCTAAACAAAAACACCTGGTCATATAAATATATAAACACATGGAAACAAATAAGAGTTCCTGATATAAGGAGTTGGGGAGTGCGGGCCCCAGTTCAGCAATTCAAAACAAACTGAGATAACACGAAATTCTAAGATTACTAGAGTTAGGTACCTTCCTCTTGCTCTTTAAAGTGGTTTATATTACCTTAGCAAAAAAACATATAAAAATCCTAACAGAATTCCCAGACCAGTTCCATAATCAGCCTTTTTTGGCCTGGGGATTGAACTTAGGGGCACTCAACCACTGAGCTGCATCCCCAGCCCTAAATAAAATTTAGAGACGGGGTCTCACTGAGTTGCTTACTGCCTTGCCATTACTGAGGCTGGTTTTGAACTCACAATCTTCCTGCCTCAGCCTTCCAAGCTGCTGGAATTATAGGAATGTGCCACCATATCTGGTATCAGTCATGCTTAATGAGTTTCAGAGAGTATGGAATCTGCTGGAAGGAATAAATTTTCTGAAGGCATTTTTCTTAGGTGTTGTGACATGTGGCCTACAATCTTGATGAGATGATTAGTTAGGCCTACCTGAAGATGGAACCTAGCCTCTAGGTATCTCTGATGGTGAAATGACATGAAGAAACTTGCTGAATGTAAGGCTTTCAAAGAGTTGCTTTATTCCGGTATTCAAAAAGCTTTCTTGGTAGTTTATTGAGTACTTGTGTGGCTTTTCAATGTTTTTTTTTGCAGGTCAAACAGCTTTCATACAGTTGACTAAATCCTTAGAGAAACAGTGAGATTATTATTTATTTTTAATTTTTATACCCCACTTTGTTTCAAATGATACTTAAAGCAAGATAGACATAATCCTACTGTAACTTCAGAGATGGGATATTAGGTATTGGTTGAGTTCATAGAACAATGAAGTGGCAAAAGATTAATTTCAAACTAAAATCTGTATCCTTGTTCCCTGTTTTGTGCAAGACTAAATTTAGTTCTATAAAGTGAAATAATTTTGAGTGTATAGTGTCTTTAGAAGTAGTGTTTTAGATAATAGGATTGTGAATTACTATAAATAGAAAAATGCTATGGGTAAGCATTGGTACTTACCAGATTTCTCAGCATTTGATTTTTAGAAATATTGGGATTTAGATTTTGAGTGGATATTTTTCATGCTTAGTCTCTGCCTAAAGGTGATTTTATTTTCTGGAACATATAATTAAAAACAATGCATGAATGGAAAATAGTTTTTGTTTTCCATTTTAACTGCATTTTTTGACTCTTTTTATATTTGGATAAATGAAAGGGCCAACTTTAAGAGCTGAGATGTTGCATGTGTCTAGTTTTACTTAGAAAGAAACTGTTGGCATGTGTTTGATGGAAAAGCTAAATACCACGGCTGACAAACAACTAAAAAACCAGCCTCTGAGTGACAAATTAAATGAAATTTTGCATTGTAAAAATCCTTGATTTGTGTGCGGTGGTGGCTTCTCTTTAATGTGTCTTTGTAAAACTGAATGCTTCCTTGAAAGATAATTAAATTTTCATTATTCGCCTGTTCCTTGCACCTGTTGACAGTTTTATCAAAAACATATTAAATTATTTTCATTGGTTGATTTGTGATTTTAAACCCTCTGCTAAGACAAATAGTGTTGTGCTCTTGCCTTTTTGTTATAGTTGTATATTCTTTCTCCAAGGACGTACAGTTGTCTTGTTGTTGTTTCATACTGTTGTAATAAATCTATAAAATACCTTTTGTGAAGATTTGACCATCATATGAATTATCACATTGAAAAATTGAAATGATCTGTTAGTTAGCTTTCTGTCATGGTAATAAAATATCTGTGATAATCAATTTGTAAAAACCAAAGTTTTATTTTGGCTCACAGTTTTGGAGATAGTCCAGAATTGGTTGGGCCTGTTGCTTTTGGACCTGTGGCAAAGGAGCACATTATGGGAGGAGCATATGTTTGAGCAAAGCTGCTGACCTCATGACCTGGAAGTGAAACAGGAAGAGCAAGAGACTGGAGTGTTCACACAATCCCCTTTGAAAGCACAGCTCCAATGACCTAAAATCCCTATTAGGCTCATCACCTAAAGGTTCTGTCCCCTTCCTGAAGCTCCATGGACTTGGAAGCAAGGTTTAGCACACGGAGCTTTGGAGGATACTCAAGATCCACACCACAGCATAATCCAAATGTCTGCATGTAGGGAAAGATTTGATATTTACCTGATAAAACACTGGTGAGAAGGTTAAGAGATGTGTTAAGATTATTTAGTGTAACCACTATACATCATTATGTTATAAGATAATATTTTACCATAAGATTATATTGTAAGATCATACTATATTATTAAATGGAAAAGTAAGAACAAAATTACTTCAATATTTATTGTGAAATATCTCAAACACACAGAAAATAGCATATAAAATATATTGAGCAATTCTTTCAAACATCAACTAAGTATTCTATTTTTTTAATATATTTTTTAAAACAGAAAAAATTACTTTCAAATATGGTTAAATCCATTTTATCTTTTCCGAATTTATGTTCAAGAAATATGTTCATATTCTTCACTCAATCCATACTGTAATCATAAATACAGATTCAATATTTATCATTCTTTTCCATGGTATTATATATTTACAAACACATTTTTACATATAAATTTGGTGCAGCATTTTTAACTTTAAACACATTTCATAAATTTATATATTCCACAGTTTGCTTTTTTATACTCGGTTCAAGTTTATAAAGAATTTGTATAAATATACTCATACCACCAGGAAGGAGAGCTCCTTTTCCTCCAAATCCTTGAATTTTCTCAGACTTTGAAGTTTTTTCCAATAAATGACCATGATAATAGTCTATTATTTTGAGTGTTCCAGATCTAATCTTGCAAAAGTTTATTGATTTATATTGTTTTCCTTTCTATCAATTGTTACTTTGTCCTTTTTTCCAGTTGTGATGTTTTATTCTTACTGGGTTACAGGAATTCTCTATACATTCAGTGAGCTAATTTTTGTTGGTTTTACTCATAGGAAAAGTGACCTGATTTTGATTTTCTTCTTCAAAATTACGGTGACTGTTCTTGGTCCATTGCTGTTTCATATTCATTTTTGAAGAAGACATTAAGACTAACAAAAATCATATTGTCATCTTGATTGGAATTGTATGAAAGTTACAGTATAATTTGAAAAAAAACTGACTTTTCTGCTATTTTCTCCATACCAGAACATAGTATATCGTTTCAGTTACTTGAATTTTTTATGTCCTTCAAAATATATCATACATTCCTTAGTTGTGAACTTATACATTATTGTTAGGTTAATTTCTAGGGAAACTTATTTTTTATTGTAAATGTGATCACTCCTTATTGGAATTTTAAATTGTATGTTCCCTTTAGATAGAATGCTGTTCGTTTCTTATGTAGATTTTCTATCCAACAACCTCACTAAACTCATTTTCTAGGAGTTTGTAGATTCTCTCAGATGTCTATGTCAGTGATCCTCAAAATACGGCCCCTGAATCAACAGCATCCTCATCTTCTTAAAAGCTGTTAGAAATGCAAATTACAGGCCCAAACCCTGATTCACTGAATCAGAAACTGAAGATGTAGTTGAATTAAGAACCTTAAGATGGAGAGATTATCCTAGATCATCTTTGCAGGCCCAATCTGGTCACATGAGTCCTTGAAGTAAGCCAAGTTTCCAGGCTACAGTTAATGGGAGATGTAACTCTAGAGAAAGTGTCAGAGAGAGATATGCTCGGGTCACGGTCAGTCAAGGAACCAGATTCTCCTACAGCTCAAAGAAAGGAATATAGCTGTATGACACCTTGATTTTAGTCCAAGGAGGTCAGTGGACTTCTAATCCACAGAATTGTAAGATAAAAAGTTCATGCTGTTTTAAGTCTCATGGTTGTAGTAATTTGTTACGGGAGCAAAAGAAAACCAAATTCAGGGTCAAATTCACTCTTTTTACCTGGTTTTGTAAAGTTTGACAAATGTATGCAGCTTTGTAACCAATACTATGCAGATACAGAAGATTTCCATTATTCTACGTCATTCCTTCAGGACACTTTTCAGTCAGTCTTGCCCCCAGCATCCCCTGCTGATGACCTGATTTCTGTTATTAGTATTGCATTTTTCAGAAGGTCATATAAATAGAATCACAACCTTTCTGTGGCTGGCTGTCTTAATTTGCATGATCTTTTTGAGATCCACTTGTGTTGTTAGATGTTTTCAGTGGTTCATGTCTTTAATGATTCAGTAGGATTCTATTTATATCTGGACAGCATATCTCCTCTGTTCTTGATTTAGGGCAGGAGGGCGGTGTCCCAACTTGAGGACAATGATAAAAAGAGGCAGTTCCAGGTATGGCCTTAGGTTTGATTGATTGGTGCATCAAAGGCATACTTGGGTCTGCCAGACCCCAAGATAGCCAAGCATAAAAATATGTAGAAAATAGAAACATAATTAATAGAGATATAATTAATAAAGCTGTTTAAATAATTATAAGCATTTGCATACAGGTCAATGAGGGTGCACGCTGAGTAAATAACTAGTAACACAATTGGTGGTTAGTATAAGTGTATGTTTCACTTTTAAGAAGGGCAAAACTATTCCAAAATAGTGGCATCATTTTGCATTCCCACTACCAAAGAATGGGAATGAGAATTATTTTCTCATCCAAGATGACACTTGATGTTGCTCCCTTATAATTATTTTTTAATTTTAGTTTTAGCTATTCAAGAAGCATATTGATGTATTGTTGTGGTTTTCAGTTGCATTTCCCTAACAACTTATGATGTAAGTATTATTTTTTCATTTGTGCATCTTTTTCATTTCACTATTCATTCAAATACTTAACCTATTTTGAATTTTAATTGGGTGGTTTGTCTTTTTATTATTGTATTATAGAGAATTCTTGA